TCTTTTATCCTTCTGTATAAGGTAAATGGTGCTATTTAAATTCCAAAATTAATTCTTCTGTGAAAAGTATTATTAATACCTTATTAAAAGTATGGGAACCAAGCATGTGTGGAGCATCATGTGATCAGGTTTGGGTGCTCTGTGATCACACTGGGGGCGGGTGGATAAGAGGGCAATGCTCCTAATGTCTCCCATCGCACCAGGGGAGCAGAACATCTCTCCACATTACGAAGATGCTGAGTGCAAGAGAAGTGAGCAGAGGCGAATTCCACCATTCATTCATCCTGTGGCAGCACATGCAGTTCAAGAAGATGAAGTGAGGAAGCACATGCAGTACCTGGTCATCTCAGAGTCGGGGAGCAGGCCTAGGTGGTAGTGGGGGTAGGGAGCTGAGAGAAGGAAGCTTTTGTCACACTCAACAGGGGAATAGTGCCTGGGAGAAGCAGGCTTATCACACAGTTTGTTCACAGTGCTGTAAACAGGTTCCGGAGGCCTGGTGACACAAGAGGAAGAGAAAGATATGCATGGTTAGCACACACAATGAACAACTGGGCCACTAGTAGCATTTTACCTTACACAAAAGTAAAAATACAAAACATTGCCATTTACTGCTTATTTCTTATTAATAGAAATCCAATTTTCCACTGGTCAGTTTTCCTAGAATAAAGATTTGATTTCTCATCCTCTCATTGGGTAGATGTGGCCCCATTAAAATGTTCGGTCCAACAGGATCTGAGCAGCAGGGTTTTGTGGGACTCCTGGGATAGCTGCTTGTAGCAAAATTGATTTAGCTGGGACCCCTGAAAGTTTGCTCTCTACCACTTCCTCCCTCTGCTGACCTGGAACCCAGACATGATGGCTGGAGCTTCAACCATTATCTTGGACCATAAAGGCAACCTTGTGGATAAAAGCAAATGATACAGATAGTGGAGCATAAAGGTAGAGCCTGTGTCACTGATGATATGGGGTGACACTAGACCACTAGACTTTCTACCTCTGGCTTTCTTCTATGTGGGATAAATATAAACTGTCCTGTTTATGCTAGTGCCATTTTGTTATTGTTGTTATATAAAAAGGACCTAATATTAACAGATATACTCCTACAAAATTTAAGACTGCAAGTCTAATAGTACCAATAAATAATTATATATAGGGCCTACCATCAGTGCTAATATATTTAATTATGTATGTAGTTCATCTAAAACCTTTTGTATATATAGGAAAATATAAAGAATATATTTTACATAATATATTTTACAGAATATATTTTATATTTTGTATATACAGGAAAATATAAAGAATACATCTTACTATGCAATTTAGAGCCTTTGACTGTTTAGAGAACTCACTGCATCTTTATTTAAAAATATTACTATCTACAAAATTGTAGCTGATCTAAACTGCCAGCATTGGACCTTAGAAAAAAG